CCCCAAAACCCCAAAACCCCATTATGATAAATTAATTGTGTAAGCAGATACTAATAAAAATAATCATTCTAAATTATTTAATTAAACTTAAAATTAATTACCTATTTGAAAGAATGTATTTTTCCAACTCAAAAGCAAATCCATTTCTTCCATAATCCTAACAGAACTCTCAGCACTTCTCTCCTTAATAGTAAAATGCTTTCAGTACATTTTCACAGTCCAGATAACTAACACTCAATCAATGTTTCTCACAAAACCAGAATAGTCAAAATCACTTTCAACCATAAAACTAGCAATATCTCTCAACTCCATAGAAGCCGAAATAGAACTTCAACTCTATCAATCCATTTCTCTCACCTAATAAAGAAGCGCTAAGTATGCAAAGCACCAATCAGTTTTCATAAAGTGGTGATAGATATTCGTTTGGCCCTCAGACAGTTAATAACTCTCTATCTAGTATGTTTACTCAGACTCTAGGATTAAACCAAAACTCAACTTATAATTAGCTTCAATAGAATCCTCCTCAAATGAATACATTCCACTCACAACTAAGTCACGCAAATGCTTTTGCTAATTCATAGGGATTTCAGTTTATTAATGGAAATTGCAATGGATTCAACTAAAGCCTTAACCAGCCTCAAAATAATCCCTTTGCTTAAAATCAGATCCAAGGTCAGACAACAGCATTTACACCAGGCTTTCCCTTCTAGCCCAACAACTTATAAAGCACGGCTCAAAGCACTTAATTTGGCACTAACTCTACAATATAAAATCCTTTTCAAAATAGTAATTAAAGTAACTGGACTAATCAATTCTCGATGCCACAGGCTTAAACCAATCAAAGTAATATGACAATGCTACCTGCTTTCTAAACACAATAGCCTTGCTTCAATCAAAGTTCAGCATTTTTCACTCAATAATAATAACAAAATTAGTAGTCCTTACCTATACTCTAGAATTGGTAGGAACTTCAAATACCAGACTAGGTTGATATGATTCAGGAAATGATCAAGAACCCAAAGCTTTACTTTCTCAACATTAAAAATAATAAGCAAATGGTAAGTCAAATGATCAAGATCATTAAGAATTAAGAGTCTAAAGAAAGTGTGAAATTTACACAATTACCAAAATCTAACAAGTACTTTTATCTTAAGCTAGAAGATATAGATGATTAAAAATCTCAAAACAAAATCAAGATCATCAAAAGAACACTAGGTAGACAAATCAAAATGTAGAATTAGATATAAATTTCAATGAAAAATGAGATTGAAGCAGGACTTAAAGAGATATAACATAATATTTCTGAATCATATAGAGAGATCTATAATATGAATATCAAATAGTCTAAGGTCTCTATTGATGCTTAATGTCTTAGTAGCAAGTTGAAATAATTTATGAACATCAGAGCTGCCTTAAAGGATCAAGTTTACAATTACTTGAATAAAAAGCGGGTTAATTACACAATCCCCTACCAGTTCTTTGGTGAGTTGCAAAAGTAGCAGTCAAATGAACTAACTATTTTAGATAAAAACATAGATACTATCTATCAAAGCATAACTTCAAGACAGAGCGATTCAGATCTTTTTTCCAAATATGACCCTATGTAATACAAACTCAAAGTATATGAAACACTTAGATTGTTTTATGTCTAACAGTAAGCGTTGGCTAATAAATCATATTAAATGGACAAAAGAACTAAATAAACTAAAGAGTAATTCAAGACTATATTTTTTAGAATAAACACTTAGGCAGGCTTTGATGATTTTGAAAAGCTATTTCAATATAATGACACAATTTAAGCAGCTAAGGCAAGTTAAGACGCATTGAAAGAATTTAATGCCAAGACTGAAGGGTAGTAACTAGCCACACTATTTGAAAAATCGAACATCATTGGTTCTAAGGCTAAAGATGATAAAAATGATTAACAGATGTAATGTCCTAGGCTGTCATCAAGAATTTTATCTCATTAGTATTGCTAAAGTTTAAAGCTTGAGCCAAAGCCACACAAATTGTTTTCTAATGTGAAAAACATATTCTAAAGAGAAAATATTGGAAAAGCAAGCAATAATCAATAGAATCTGGAACTTCAATAGAAATAAAGGGAACTATTCTAATAATAGGTAAAGTCACCTGCATCGATTCTCAAGAAGTAAATCAATTTAGAAAGATAAGGTTAAGAAAATAAAAATGTCAAATTTTCTATAAATTAGACATTCAAAGCCTCCAATAATAAAAGACCTTTTGATTCATATTTATAGAACATTAGAAAGTAATAATCTTTAACTGAAAAATCTGATAAGAATAATAGTTCTGAGAAATTGAGAATTTAGAAGTTCAATGAGAAGTATAAGGTGGATGAGAATAGATATGAGTAACATGAATATCAAGTGAACAAGAGTGCTAGATCTAAGAAATGGGGTAAATCAATGATTTAAAATCTAGGTATTAAGTTGCATGATATCGTAGGAAATAAATTCTTTAAGAGAAGTAGATATAATCCATTATGATTTTATTTTGGAAGACACAAGTTGATTTTTACATTTTAATGAAGCTTTTATTTATTTTAATTTCATAACTTGAAAATTTACTGCTAAATGCTAGGAATTGGGGTTTTGGGGTTTTGGGG